AAGTATAACTTCACAAGATACTCAACAGTCCTCATTTTTTGTTCATTTTTGTGTTGGAGTTTTTGTAATATTGTGACTTTATTCTGATAATTGAAAGAAAAGGAATCGTATCCTGGCTTTATTAATCCGTTGCCCAAAAAATCCAGATTGCCACAAATTAAATCTTCAAAAACCCAAAATTTGAATCAATTTATCACCCAGGCCTAGTTGATGTGGTTCTGAAAACATTTCTGGACATTTTCTGACAAGGTGTTGAATATTTAAGCAATCACTTATGTACTGTATTTTTATTTCATTTACATTATTTTTGTTGACTTTTTGTCAAAAATTTTGTTGATTCTGATTGATTTATAGAATCAATAAAAGCCCAAATCCTCCAAGTACTGAGCACACAGAAGGTAGTCAGACAGAAGTCGTAGCACCATATCACCACCCTAATCTTTTTATCTAACCATAAAATAAATTCTTGGCTTTCAAGTTACACAAATTTGTCCGAGGGAACAAGTTGCCCAAGCGTTCGCTGTAAGTCTCGGAGCCGCTCTCCTCGGCAGCAACCTGCGGCGGTCTGAGGCAGCCGTGATTAAAGGTCTCTAATTAAGCCACCCAAACTCTGACATTATCGCAATCCACATTTTCCTCGCGGCTCCAGGAGGAGAGGTGCAATAGATTCTGAGGCGGGAGCAAAGAAAATGAGGTGGAAAAAGAGAAGTCGAGGCTTCCTGTTGAGGCTGAGGACAGTGAAAGTGTGAAAATATTTTTTTTCTCCAGCTACAAAGTGCACTTCTAATGTTTCTTGATTAATTCATGACCCTGGAAGGGAAACTTGATTATTAATATATGAAGTTGGAAAGTAGGAGTGTGCCTGAAAATCGATTCACATTAGGACTGAAACGATTAATCGTGATTAATCAGTTATTGAAATTATTGTCAACTAATTTAATCAATTAATTGTTAGAGTATACAAACTCTAAAAAAGGCCATGAATTATTAAAAAGGTAATAAATGTGACATTTTAATGCATATTCTGAAATGTGACATTTTAATGCATATTCTGTCTAGGGCTGAAGCCAACAATTATTTTAGCGATTTATCTGAAACAAAAATTAGCACATTGTACAGATTTTTCATTTACCAACTTAAGCATTTTTTTACACTTATGTAAAAGATGCAAATAAACAAATTCCTTCTGTAAATAAGAACCCATTTCATTGCCTAAAATGCAACAACATGGCATTCCTTTAGTAAATCTGAACCGGAAGAAGCTAAAACTTCGCTAGTTGAGGAGCTTTGGCTAAAAAAAATTTGCAGACAAAAGTATTTTTATATTAAATGAAAAAAAAATTATATATATATATATATATATATATATATATATATATATATATATTGACTTATTACTTCAATTGGCCTTCTTGTGAGTCTATATACTCCAGTTAACAATTAATCGATTACTAAATTAGTTGAGAATTATTTCAATTATCGATTAATCACCATGATTTCAATTAATCGTTTTAGCTCAAAGCAGATTTAAGTAAATCAAAAGGATACTTTGAACACCATTACATTAAGAAATCATTATGAACAATTGCTGTGATTCAAAAATTGATTTTTAAATTGAATCATGGCACCAAAAATCTGAAAAATCCCCACACATATTTGAAAGTCATGCTTTAAATACCAGTTGTTCTCGGCAGAACGCTCTGAAGGCTGAAAACTCATGATTTTGTGATTTTCAGCTGGTTTGGATGAAATGAAACCTCACCAGGAGCGACTCGAGTCCTCTAGTGGAACCTAATTTAAATCACAGCAGCAGCAGCATCAGTGTGTTATTCATCAAGACCTTGACCCCTCTGGGTCTGCAAATACATAACAGATAAACAATGTTTACCCAAAATGTGGGACAAGCAGATAAATCCATACCATTTCAAACAAACAGCATCATATCGCTTCAATCAGAGTTGGATAATTTATGTTGATCTCTGGATTCATAATGAAAGTTGCGTATCAGCCTTGGTGCATTAGTGAAAGTCTTTTCATAATCTCCTGATAAAGCTGCAGCTCTGGGTCACCGTAACGTTTCATAAACATTTCCCGTGAACCTCAAAGAGAAGGAGTGAGTAAAATCTCATCTTGGTGCATTTAAAAAAAATAAAGACTCCACTGCAACAGCTCTATTCAGCATCTCCAGGCTTTTACGAATAGTTAAATGCAAAGAGGCATAAAAGAAGCTGCAGGTGAAGTTTGTTTTGATTTATTTAGTTCCCTGATGATCCATAAAAAGCTGAAATCAAAGCCATGTGTGCACTTCATCCATTTAAACATTGTATTATTTGAATAAGATCGCTCCACTCTCAGCAATGCAACAGGACATTAACCAAATAATTTACTTTAATAAGTGTCTCCCCACTCTGGAGCTGTTAAAGGAGCTTTGCTAACTGGGTCAGTGGGCCATGTGCCTCACTAGTCAAACACAACAGTGGGCCCAGGTGGGCCAGACGAAGCTCCATTGTTCGGTATTACGATGGATTATTGCCATTTTCCAGTCCCAGAACAGGAGCAAATGGGACTGGAAACAAAGAAACTGGTTTAATGTTTTTAAACTGGTTCATTTGGTCCAAAGTGGAGCAGAAATGAGGAAGATAAAGTTTAGGTTTTTGACTCGTTGTCTAAACTTTGTACCCGTTGGTCCATCATCACAGTGATTGTCCATCCACTGATCAATACATCAAGAGACCAATTCATCCATCTATCCATTAAGCAATTCATAAATCCATCCATCTGTCCATGTCATTGGTCAAAAGGAAAATACTTGGTAATAAGAATCATTCACATTACAAAGTCCCTACATTTATTCATTTGTTTAAGGATCCCCGTTATTCTCTACCATGATAGACGCCAAACATTACAAAAAAGATCTAATGGTATAAAACACAGGCAAAATTAAACACAACATTTAAATCGACCTCTTCAACGTCCAACAAACATTACGAAAAGACAAACTATTTCAGCAATATCAAAGCTAAATTAAAAACCAAGATAAATGAAAGGAAGAATTTAAAACTTTGAATTTAAATTAATTCATTCTGTTAAAGATCTTTTTAGGTTCTCTCTTAAATTTACATGATCAGCCATATTTAATTTATTTATTTCAAACTGGATTTAAAGACAGAAAACAATCAGCAGGACAAAATAATTACTTACCATTACTTTTATGTTTGACAATGAGCAGGAAGAAGTGGACACTTATCTCAAGTTAATGAAATATATCAGTTACCAATTCAATAATTAACCAAAATCTGTAATTAAAACCATGTTCTAACATTCATGTGCCTGTTTAATGTAAGATAAATAAATTATATTACACAAACAAAATGGTTCAAACTAACTCATGACAAGACTAGAAAATCTACAGGTACATAATAATGTTAATGATGATGATGGTAAATAACAACCGAATCTGTCTAATATAAAAAATTGAGGAAAAACTAATGATGGTAATATATAGCAGTAATAACTGATAATGGTACTATAACCCAGAAGAAAGGGCTGTAGCCATCCATTCCAGTGGATTTGGGCCTGAAGGGGTTAAACGTGTCTTCAGACTGACTCATCGGTGAACCCGGGTCTCCGCTGACGGGCCCGTCTCTCACCGGTGACCCCGCCGCGTCTCTCTGCCTGCTGCTCCCCTGGCCCTCCCTCTGTTTGGCTGACTTGATTAAATCCAGGGTGTAATGGGAAACAAATTACGCCTTGTGCAGCATGATGGCTTTGAAAGGGGGGATAATTAGTATGTTCATCCACGTCCTTAAAGAGATCTGTGCAAGTGTGGCTCTTCTCCCAATTCACAGATCTCTTCTTCTTCTTCTTCCTCTCATTTGCTGGATCTCTTCCCTGAATGCGGCGGTTGTTTTGTGCGCTTCGTGTTGCAGTGACAGTGAAGTAAATAGCCAATATGTATTCATGAGTACTCACTTGAGGCATTGCCATCAGAGTCATCAGTCCTTGGCCTGAAATTGTCTCATCAGTGGCTTTAATGATCTTGCAGACACTGTGTTGCAGAGTCTTTTGTACTTGTCAAGGAAGCAGGTTGTTTCCAGAAAGGAAAAATATGCAGCTTTTTGTGATGTCGATCTGCCTGCTTCCTGGTTTATTTTAGGAATCTGTTTAAAATCGAAAAGCAAAAGAAGAAGAATGCAAATGTAGTGCGAAGACGACTTCTGGATCAAAGGAGCTGCTCAGTTTTAAACGGCTGCTGGTTTAATGCTCCCATCCAGGATCCAGCTGATAAATGCCTCCATGTTTTATTTGACCTTTAACTCCTGGTTCACCGTTTCATCTCCTCATCGTCTCTTTGTCACATTAATGCAACTTTGGTTTTTTATGACACTTCCGAGAGAAACTGGAAGTCTGGAAAATAGTTTGAATTGTTTTTAGGAAAGTGAAACATGGAAGAAATTTCTGTTTCCATTAGTTTGAAATCAGACTTTATGTTGAGCTTTCCACTATTGATCCGTCTGTTTAACTCCATAGAATGATGATAATAATCCATACAATAATGCCTCTAAACATTGATCCATCCATTCATCCGTTCACCGATTCATCCATTCAATCAACCAACTAACAATCCACCCGTCCATCCGTCCCACCGCCAGTTCAACCATAAATACATTTATTCATCCAACCAACCATCCATCCATAGTGATTCATCCATCCATCATTTATCCATAATTTATTCCTCCACTCATCTATCCGCTCATCCCTCTTTCCGTCCCTCCGTCTCTCTCCCTCCCTCTCTCTCTCTGTCTCTTTCTCGTCCCTCTGTCTCTAACCATCCCTCTGTCTCTCTCTCGTCCCTCCGTCTCCCTCTCTCTCCGTCTCTCTCTCGTCCCTCCGTCTCCCTCTCTCTCCATCTCTCTCTGTCTCTCTCTCGTCCCTCCGTCTCTCTCGTCCCTCCGTCTCTCTCGTCCCTCCGTCTTAACCATCCCCCTCTTTGTGTCCAGTGGTGTGGGTAGGAACTGGCCCTGGGCTTCAGGCGGCAGCAGCATCCTGGCAGAGTACGGGACCCTCCATCTGGAGTTCATGCACCTCAGCAAACTCTCCGGAAACCCAGAGTTTGCTCAAAAGGTAACCAAAGCAAAACCATGGAAATCTGTTCAAAACAACCGTTTTACTGAAACTTGACTTCTGTACCTGCAGGTAATGAACATCAGGAAAGTGCTGAACCGTTTGGACAAACCTCAGGGACTTTATCCGAACTACCTGAACCCGAACAGCGGCCAGTGGGGCCAACGTAAGTAACTCTATCTGTTTACATCAGAACCTTAACGGTGGCTGTAAGAAGCATGTGGTCATGATTTAAAGTTTCAATAAACGTGACAATAAATTCAAGCGCTATTCATTTAAACTAAAAGGTATTTACCAAAACAGCTGCCAAAACAGAACAGCTCCAGTTAATTAATTCAAGCATCTCTCTGGGGCTTTTAGGACATTCATTTGATATTATTAAACTTTTATTGTTCTTGACACATTTTAAAGCACATCTTTAAACTCCTACAAACAGAAAACTATACAAAACTTACAGCTTCCCATATAGAAGAAAGGCTGTAGTTAACATATAAGACACTGTCTGAATTCATTATGTAAACCAACAATAGAAATCTGAATTTATTACATTATGAACGTCGCCCAGGTTTGAACTAATTCATGCAAATTGCTGCTGTTCTGCAGCGCTTTATGTTCGTCTTTCACTGTAATTGTACAGATTTAAATCAGGAGAATTGATGTACATTTATTCTCCTGCTGTAATCATTTAACTGTCTGGATCAGACTGAGATTATTCACAATTGTAATATTAAATTATAATCTTTTTTGGATGTTAATGTTTTGTCACCAACTAGAATTAGCAGAAGAAGAGAGATTCCTGTAGAAATAAACATTTTCAGCAGGAAAATTAAAGAAAAATGTTTCATTTTCTTCTTGAACTTTGACAAAATTTATGAATGAAAAAAAAATTGCTACATGTGCTGAAAAGCATGCTAATGTTTACTAGCATCAGATAAAGTCATGCTCCATTTCCTGAAGCTGCCGTTTGAACCTTGTTGGATGACTTCACGGGTTGGTTGCCCACTCTTCACCCGTCAAGTATTTTCATTCCCGGTCCGTTCAGATGCTTTTATGTTCCTGATAGGATGTAATTTTAAACCCATTAGCCGACTCTTAAAACCACGGAGCTAAACAGGTAATGATGATGATGGAGGCGTCGGACGTGAAGGACGAGCGGAGAACAAAGAATAACAGAGCGAAGATAAAAGCTGGGATGTTTTATATATCCAAGAAACTTTCCTATCAGTCATATTTAGCCTGGATAAATAAAAAAAATACAGTTTTTAAACAATTACTTCTCTTATTAAAGGAAAGAGTTGATCTGTGGGGAAATTTGGACCCACTCCTGTTTGCAGAATTTGTTTTATTCAGCCATGAATGAAACATCTTAATTACATTTTAGTCCAGACTTGGACTAGACACTGCAATATCTAATAATGTATTAAAATCAGGCTTCAGAATGTAATGAAACATAATTAAAACCACAGGAGGGCAGAAATTATACAACTGCAACATATTTTTTCTCAAATAAGTGTAAAAATGTTTTTTAAAAGTTTACTGAAGTACTGAGTAACTTATCAAATCATTTAACATTTAAAAATTACATAACCAGATGGACCAGAGTATAAAGTTAAGTGGAAGTTTTGGTAAGAACCAAAATGGTAATTCATAAAACTAACAAGAAATAACAAAATCAGGCAAAATAAAATGTTTCTAAATCAGTTTATTTCAATAAAAAACGTTAACAAAATCTGCAGGTGTGAGTTTGTGGTTGAAACATGTTTGTTTTCCACTCAGTGAGTAGAAATACTTCAAAATAAAATGTAAAAATACTCCTAAAACTAAATGTTTTCTAAAAGGTTTCTTTGTATTTGAATAAATGCAACTGATTTCTACCCAACTCTGATTAAAACATTATTTATCTGTTGACACCTGAAAGCATCTGAAGTAAATCTACTGATCTACAAAACCTTAATAAAAATAATTATTAAAGAATTATTCAGAAACTGCAGCAGCCTCACATCTGAAGATAAAGTGGTGAAAAGATCCTTTCAGACGAGCTCAAATTAAACCCACCTTCGACTTTTTAGTGTTTTACGTTTAACAGCCATAAAAACTTCTACATTCTTGATCCAATTTCACCTGTTATTCACATCACTTTGTTGTTAACTTTTACTGTCCTCTGTAAAACCAAAAAAAAGAGAAATTTGTGCTTTTCACCGAAAAAGAATGTGACATTAAAGTAAAAATCCTTTCTCCTGGTTTTATTATTTTGTTTTTAATACCCGCTGATATGCTCTCAGCTTTTATTGAAGCGCTGTCAGGTATAGTTTTACTGCACAGCTTTTTACGAAAGATCCGGATAAATATGGATCTGTTCCTGCAGACTGCTCTGAAATGCTCAGTAAAACAACCATTTAAACACATGAGCGGTTATAATTGTTCATATTTATGTGACACGAAGCTGATTACGGTGTTTTCAGGCAAGTATTTCATTAAGTGACGCATAAAAGTAGAATTGCTGTTTAGATAACATAAAGAGGAATGAATGCATAAAAGTCGTTTATTCAGGTATATGATGGCGGCTGGGTTCGCTTCATAAATTGTAAGATATGAATTTTGGCAGGAGAGACGCTTATAAACTCTTATATTCTACCTTAAGGTTTGAGTCGTTGAGAAATGAAACGATTTAATCAGGTTTTTTAAAATTTAGTTCATGTTTCCAAACCACCCATGGCGGCCATCTTGTTTTATGAATGTGTTTTATTTGGATTTTGAATTCAGATCAACTCTATAGTGAAATATAAAGGCTAAGATGTTTACTTTTAATTCTGAGAATAAAGTCATAATAATGAAAGAATGGTATACAAGAATAGTTGTAAGACAAAGTTGAAATAATCCGACAATAAATGTTAAAATGACTTGTTATTTTAGGACATTTTATTGGTAAAATTGAGTCTTTTTCTCCTAATATTGGGACTATGTTCTCATAATTAAAGAAAAGTTCTTGTATCCTGGCATTAGTAATCTGTTCAACTCACAGAAGGGATCATTGAAATTAAAGCAACTTTTTGAAAACAAAGTTGTAATATTACCATAAAAAAGTTATAATTTAAAAAAAAAACTGGGAAAAATCTCGTGTTTTAAGTTAAATAATTTGAACCTTTTCATCAATATAATTATTTACTTTAAATAAGCTCCTGTTTCTTGCTGAATAGTTACTTTCAAGTTAGTTTTCTTATTTCAAGTGTACTTAGATATTTACATTAGAAACTAAACCAAAACGACTGATTTTGTGTTTTTATAGTGTATAAATATTATTCTAGGTTTCTGTTCGTCGCTGATTCTTTATTTTTAAATGTTTCCCTTCTTTAAACCAAACCCTCCTCATCATCATCATCCTCATCCTCCTCCTCTCTTTTCGCCTCAAGATGATCACAGCTGACATTTAATCTCTGCGCTTCACTACGCGGCCGGACTGCGTTAATGACGCATGCATATGGATGAGCCTTCGCCGACTATCAGCGGGACAAAAACTAGAAACTACTCGATCAGCCTGCCACCAGAATAATGTCGCGGTGTTTGTGCAGCGGCCTCGCCGGAGCCACGCGGCGCTGATTCATGTTCCTCCGCTAATCTTTGCTGCAGATCACGTGTCTGTGGGTGGCCTCGGCGACAGCTTCTATGAGTATCTGCTCAAGGCCTGGCTTATGTCCGACAAGACCGACGAGGAAGGGAAGAAGATGTACTATGATGCCCTGCAGGTGAGGCGCGCGCACACACACACACACACACACACTCACACATGCTGGGAGGGTCTTTATTGGATTAACTGCTCAAGTTAAATAAAGGGCAAGGACTTAAATAAAGCTTCAGAGGTTGGTCAGAAATACTAAATATGTCTTTATCCACAACTTTGGCTTCACTTTAACATGTCAAACTTAATGGAAGGTGATTTTTCTGATCTCCTGCTTTAGTTATTATGCTTCCTTGAACAGGTTATGTTAGCTCAATGTGTGATACAAAACATGTTAGTTATATTTTTAGCTCAAAATCATTGCTAGATAATCAAATTTCAGTCCGATTTTCAGCTGTTTTAGGGCCTCCTGTCACTTTAAATCCAAATAAGCCACTGCTAGCCACGCCCCCTCAAGTCAATGTTTACACTGGCTGCAAACAAATGTGCAGTTATACAACCGTACATCTTTTAAAAGCAGAAGTGGAGCCAACAGATGGTTTCTGGATGGTAAGTCAACAGCAAAACACTTGTCTTTTCCAGCAGCCATTGTACATCTCATACAGGGGGGAACCAGCTGACCAAACTTGCTGGAGCTTTGCTTGGGTTGCTAGGTAACGGTCGGAACTCCACTGAGGTTGCTAGGTAACGGGCTTCACTGCAGTTAGTAGTTTGCAACATCTACTTCTTGCTTTTTTACTGCCATGCTTAGAGTCAACATCTGACAAAAATTAAACTTTGCGTAGCCCAGTTGTTTCGCTCCAAACCAGTAGATGGACACGTCTAATTCGCTTTTTTTTTTTTCCTTTCTTCTTTCCACATGAGAGACCTGACAAATGGAAACATAGATCCAATCAATTTTATTTGTATAGCACATTTCAGCCAGAAGGCAGTTAAAAGTACTTTACATCATAAAAACACTAAAATAAGTCATAAAAACCACATACAGTCACCAGCTGACATCCTATTTTGTCAAGTGCCATCATAAAAATCATCAATAGATGTCAAATATGTTGGTCATTGCTCCAGTGATGAGTCGAAAGCAATATAATGTGTATTAATACATATTAAGGTATATTTGGTGTTCAAACTATTGAAATAGACAGTTTTAAGCAGATGTTAACTTAATTTTAGGATCTACTATAGTAACGTTTCTTTTTGGAGCAAAAAGACAAAAAAAATAGGGAAATCAACTAAAAACTATAGTGGTGAATGTTCTTTAGCTGAAATTAGAGACGATATATCCCCAGAATGTGGTCCAACCAAATGAAACTTTTAAAACCTGGTGGTATTACATAAACCTCACAGCGAGTGGACGTCTAATTTCCACTTGTTCCCTCTAAGCAGACAGCATGGTGTTTGTTTACAGCTGGTGAAGTGTTGCCGTTTACTCCACAGGGTTTAAATCCCTCATGCAGCCTCTGAGTCATTATAGATGATGCTGGATAATGGCGGACAACAACAGCAAGGTCAGCTGTGGGTAATAAAAAGCAGTCATGCTGTGGTATTTACTTTCATCTGCAGACATTACAAAAGTCCGGTTATTTAAATAACCTCACGAAGCGGCTCACACAGAGTCGAAGATGCTGAACAGATGATCTGCAGGAAGGGAAAAAATCCTCCTGAACCCAGAGGATTATTTATTTCCTCCATTATAATAAATCATCAAGTTAAGTTGTGGTGACAAGCGACGGGTCTCAGCTGGAGAAAGCTGCTGGATGTCCTTCTGTCTCACTGTGGTGCGTTCAAGAGCAAAAATATTGACAATAACTATAAATCTGGGAGGATTATTGACTAGTGATCCAAAAAAGTAATCGATTTATAATAAATTGTCGAGCAATTGTTTTTTAGATTAAAACTAATCAAAAGTGCAACGATTAACTTGTAAAGTCAGCTTAGACCTTATTTTAGGGTTGTAGTTTGGCCGCCATCCAACAGAGGGCGCCGCTGGTCATTCGTAAGAGAAGCCGTTGATGCAGAGAAACAAAAATGGCGGAGCGGGAAAGAGAAACAGAGTCCGCTGTGGGATTAAAAGTCTACTTTATTGTGTTCTGTTTTGAAATATAGACGAAGTTTTACCTTAATATTACTGTGTGGTGGAGCAGCGTCGACTTCTCAACCAAATATTACCGATGTGCTACGAAGGTGAGGGTTTGATAGAAAGGCAGGGCGGACAACTGAGAAAATTAACGCGATGGGGAAAAACATGGCGCCAGTAAGCACGGTTGACTTGAGTTGGTGCACAGTTTTAACATTCCTTCAAGAGCAACAGACTATGTTTGACATTATTTTATTTTTCAATTCAGCAACATAAGAGGTTCCTGGTTTGTTATACTGTATATATGTATATCTGAGTTAATTAATGTGAGAAAACCAAAATTTTCCTCTATCAGTTGTATTTAACACAACTGATAGAAAATAATGTTAGAATTTAATCATTTTAATTCAGCAAATTATGGAAAATTTAGCTCTTTGTGTTATGGAAAGACAGTCAGCCATTTTGATACTAGAAAAAACTCGTTTAAGTAAAAGTGGCCGTTAATCAATTAAACGTTTACAGTTAATCAACTTTAGATAAACGAAATCATTGGTAACTTGCATATCTTTTATAGATATTCTTGGAGAAAATTGCTGCTTATCAATTAATCATTAGTCGATAGATAAGATCAATTAACTAAAGAATTGATAAATTGCATCCCTATCATAGAAACAACGTTGGATTCATGCTTTTTGATTCTCGCCGCCCTGTTTCTTCCTTCCAGGCGATAGAAACCAACCTGATGAGGAAGTCGAGCAGCGGGCTGACCTACATAGCTGAGTGGAAGGGAGGGCTGCTGGAGCACAAGATGGGCCACCTGACGTGTTTCGCCGGCGGCATGATCGCTCTGGGCGCCGATGGGGCCCCCGGTGACAAGACAGGCCACCAGATGGAGCAGGCGGCGGAGATCGCTCGCACCTGCCACGAGTCGTACGCCAGGACAGGTAACTCCATGACGAGCCTGTGAATCGCCTGAAAATGTAATATTTCATGATAATAACTTCAGAATGAACTCTAAATAGATTCTAGTCTTAGTAAAGATTTTATTTATTGTTTAAAGCTTGTGGTGCCTTTTTTTTTTTTAAATAAATTGATCATTAAATTCTCGGGGATTCAATTATTTTAAAATTCCTTCATCTAGGAATTTTTTACTTTCATGAAACAAATCCATTGAAACCATTAATCAGATTAATTGTGACTAATTGATTATTAAAATAATCAACTGATTTAGTAATCGATTAATCGTTAACTGGAGAATTGTTTCCCTGCATCTTTTAATGTACTTTTAACATTGTATAAAAATGTAAAGAGGTTAAATTAAAAAAAAAAATCTAGAGATTTTTTTTATTCAATTAATCGTCAATTAATTGTTGGTCGCATTTCTAATGCCTATGCTATTATCATTAAAATTGTCTTAGCATTCATTTTTATTCTTTTATCATTGTTTTTGTTTTATCTTTATTTTATTAAACATTGGAAAAGGATTGTAATGATGATGATAATATTTTGTTAGATGTTTCAATAAGTTTCTGGAGGATTACGACCATGAGCAAAATGAAAACCGTTTTATGATGATGTTCTCTGCACCCACATATGTAGCATAAACTAAATTATAAATGATAGGTTTATACTGCAGCTATCATATAAATCTGAAGTCTACTAACACTGGCTGTCAGGTGATATAAATCCTTGACATAAAGTAAATAGAAGCTGCGATCTGACTCTTAAATTGTGTTGTTTTCCTTTCTCCGAAGCGCTGAAGCTCGGTCCAGAGGCGTTCCGCTTCGACGGCGGCGTTGAGGCCATCGCGACCCGACAGAATGAGAAATATTTCATCCTGCGCCCAGAGGTCATCGAGACCTACATGTACATGTGGAGATTCACCCACGACCCCAAGTACAGAGAGTGGGGCTGGGAGGCTGTCCAGGTGAAATAACTTCATCTCACTCATAAATTTGTTGTAGTTTTATTTAAAGGAACAGTTTGAACTTTACATCATGTTTATAATGTTATTCCCTCATCAAACACATACCTCGATTCTTTTATGCATATTTGAGGAATCCTTTAATCGCCATGGCAATCAAGTTTCCTCCCCTACTGTGCTCCTTCAGACTAGCCAGCAGCAATTAGCAAACACCTGGTGGAACTGCTGAGCTCATTAAAGGAGCTGCTTCTCAGTGAAACTCTGGTAAAACGTTGTTAAAGGCTTAATGGAGGAGCCATGTCACAATAAACAATAAATCAATTAATCACATAATAAATTAAAACAAGCTGAATAATTTTCATTTGCATGATTTTTTTTTCTTTTCTCTCTTTCTGCCAAAAACTGGATAAGAGTTTAAACTGGCCCCTTTTTTAGAGGACAGTTTTGTTTACAGAAACTTCATAATTAATTTTATTTAAGTTGATTTTTTTTGGATATTTAAAATGTCTTCCAGATCTGATGTTAAATGTTCATCAGAATTCAAAGTTTATTCATCTTTGACGATGTGTTCTTGCATTATTACGCCACTTTGTTATTGTATTACTTGAAAATGGTCCCAAAACAATAATATCATTTATCGCAATTTGTTACCAAGACAGACTTAGAGGAGCAATGTTGAGATGACTTCCTGTAGGCGGAGTTTCAGGAAGAACAGGAGCTTCTTAAAGAGACAGAGGCAAATTTTAAAGTCATATTTGATATATGTAGCATTTTTACAACTGAAATTAAAATAGTAACTTGATTGTGGTATAAAATGGTACTGCAACATACAGTACTGCCCCTTTAAAATAAAACAAGAACTCATTTAGCTCCCTTTCTACATGAAGGACATGAGCTGAAGACTTTGTCTGTTTGCGTCTCATCCAGGCCTTGGAGAAGCACTGCCGACTAGAAGGAGGCTACAGCGGCGTCCGGGACGTCTACGCCTCGTCTCCGAACCATGACGACGTGCAGCAGAGCTTCTACCTGGCCGAGACGCTAAAGTAAGTCCAAACCGAGCAGCGTTCCCTTCTGCCCCGCAGGCCTGAGCTGACACAAACTGAAGCTGCCTTTCACTCCTGCTCAGCTTCAGACACAGGCTCCAGGTTATTTCATTCACACACACACACACGCACACACACCAAATCTTGCGGCCCTCAGATGCTAAATTACATCAGTCAGTTCCTCTAGTTTTTCCAAAATTGTGGAAATTGACACACAATAAACAGATACCAGTATTTTTTGTTGTTGTTTTTTGTTTGTTTTTTGCTGGTGTATAGTTGTGATTTTATTTCAGATTTTCTGCAAAAAATGGTTAAAAACATTCAGTTGTGTTAATTAGTACAGCACATTTAAGCAACAAGGCCGTTCAAACAGGTTTACATCATGAAATCATGAAAACGACACATCATGTCGTCAACAATACATTTGGTTTAAGTGATGCTACCTTCCACCTACAGGGGGCAGTATTTCTTATTTTTACTCCACTATTTCCTCAGCTTTACTTTATATCAAGTTATGGTTAATGATCAATGTAGCAGGGATCAAAATGTCATTTTTAACGTATTTTTCTAAATCTGCTCCACAAAATCAATGCACAAGAAATGACAAAAACAAATGTGAAATCCTGGAAATATGTTCAAAATAATTAAATTTAAAGACGTACTCATTGAATGCAGAAAGATTAATATTAGTATTTTAACAATTTAATTTGTTTTATCACTACATTCTGCCACAAACAGCACTTTGAAAACATTCATAATCTTAACGAAGCTAAAATTTAAAATGAGTTTGACTCCCCTGCTTCCTGCTTTAACGTAATTTAATGGATCTAAAATTGCATTAAAATCCTAAATTTGGAAAAATACAATAGAAATCAAACAAATTCATAGATAAAAACACGTTTTTTTTTCTTACTCTGAAGTTAAATCGGAGTAAACTTTTCTTGTTTTCAGTTGGTTAGAATCGCCAAAATTATTTCTATTTGCAAATGCCTGAAAATATATAAATTTTTTTTGTTTTTTTGTGAAATTACTGTTTTGTTCTCAGAGCAGTTGAGTTTATCAAATATTTTAGTTTAGTTTGTTCCTGCTGGTTAATGTATAATACTGTCACAAAACAGTATTAATAAGCATAATAAATATCATACAACAATGAATTTAAACTCTTTTTGGTTCTGATCGAAGCTCCAGAGATACAAATCTGAAATCTGCAGAAACTTCCAGGAATAACGACAAAACAAAAGCTTCTAATTTAGCTTCAGTAATTACAGATATGTCAGCCAGACGATGTCTGTTACATAAATCTAAAAAAAATTAATTAAAAAAGGCTCCAAATAGAGACAGAAACTGTGAAAAACACCAAATGTCTCAAGTCTCCCCTGCCAGCCGCAGCGTCACACCTTTAGCTCGAATCCTTTCCAGTTATTTTTGTTTTTACTGATCATTTCGGCAGGTTTTGTGTCTGGACACAAGCCGGACAATTGTTGCATAATTTCACACAGAAAATCCAACATTTAATTTGTTACGTTGGGGAGAAAAAATTATAGTTTCCCTGAGGTTTCATGATGCAACACAACGGCACTTCAACAACATGGTATTTAGCGGATGCTAATGCTAAATGCTAAGTTTTCATGTTTTTTTCTGTAACGGGTCAACTGGGTATTTGATAGAGTTGATCAGCAGGATCAAATCTGCTGTTACACAGTTTATGTTTAATGCGATAAACGTTTTCAACGCTAGCTGAAGCGCTAACTGACTTAGCAAATGTTAGCCCAGCAGTGAAAATTATCTGGAAAAGTTTTAATTTGTGTTTTCCTGCAGGTATCTGTACCTGCTGTTCTCTGACGACGACCACCTGCCGTTCGAACACTGGGTGTTCAACACCGAGGCTCACCCTCTGCCCGTCATCAGGAAGGACAAAACAGACACGCCCAACGAAGTGGAGTAGCCTCCCAGTGACCTCTGACCCTGTATATCTGAGCCTCCTGCTGGCGACAGGTTCCTCCTTGTCGGATTTTGACTTTTTTGTTCTTTTTATAAACTGGATCTGTTCTGGTTTTATCTGATTTTTTTTTTTTTTTTTGTTTTACTTTGAATCTTTTTGCAAACACTGATCTCCGGTTGGGCCGGATCCGGAGCAGCTTTTTTAAAACCGGAATCATGAGAACTTCCTGTTTGGATGGGAAGCGGCAGAGATAATCAGCTGCTCTTTGTCCGGTCACGTTATTTATCAGGATGTTTGTTTAGTTTTTTTCTCTGCGAGGGTGAAACCAGGCGGCTCTGTGAATTAAAGACGTTTGGGCACAAAAACCCCTCAGCTCTGACTGACAGGGGCGACGAAGTGACACGGCGAGCGCAAAGACTCCCGGGTCACTTCCTGTTTCCTTTTCGCTGCTTGAGGATCCGTTTGGTTGAAGAAACACTGGGATTTCCTTTTTTAATGTTTTCATCTTTCTAAATCATGCCTCGTTCTTATCTGCCAGTAAATTCAGCTGGTTTTCTTTGACCAGCTGTTTTGTTCCTCTATCTCACATTTCCATCAGTTTGACCAGGACAGGGATTTAAAAACTATTTCTTCCTAACTTGATTGTTTTCGCCTTTTTTTCCTGTAAAAATTGGTTTGATTTTAAGTTTAATGACCTCAGACTTGAATATTTTTTTAAACTGGTGAACTTAAATTACTTTTTGATGGATTTTGGAGCAGTTTAAATTGTCAGGGAGCTTTATTTTATTTTATTTTTATTTCATTTTCGGGGATGCATGAAATATCGGAATTGGCCCGATATTAATAACCAATGTGCTGGCGATGCTGCAGAGGATTCTGGGATATCGGTTGTTCTTTCATTGTCAGAAATGTGGGAAAATATCCATTATATTGATATCGGATATCAATATCGGCCCAAATTTTGAAATCAGTGCTTCCACTGAGACCCTGAACATTTACGCTGCTGTTCCAGAGTTTACATCCACTCATCTGAATGAACATTAAGTGATCGTTTTAGTTCCTTAAGACTCATTTAAAGTGTCGAGAAATTTTTCACAATAAATGATAAAAAAAAGACCAGCCCGCTGGGAATTGTCCCGATAAACCCAGTTAGCTGATTAGCCTGTTTTGATCAAAATCTTGGATCAGATCTAAATAAACAGCCACTCAGGCCTCGCTGGTGTATGTACATATCTGACCCTGTGATTAGAGGAAATCCACGGTTCTTACTGTTAAAACAAATCATGGAAGTTGGACGGTTTTTAATCATTTTGTTCTGCGGTGATTTAAATGTAGCTGAAGTTGGTATTGATGAGTGGATGTAACCTTCCTCTCCTATTCTTCATCAGGCAGGCTGCAGGATCTTCTCTCCTCTGTGAGGAAATGCAGGAACTCAACTTTGCTCTCAAAGCTCCACCTTCAGTCACATTGAAGCCATACTGACGTAGTGCAGCTTTTACGTTGTTTACATCACGATTAATTTATCGTTTTTTTCCCCGGAACCACAGAGACGAAGCCAGATTTCATCCAGTTTAGTCTTTAATCTAGTGCCTTTGCTGGTAAAAACAGAGGAGTTGCAGTTCACATGAACACAAAGAAGGGATTTTTTTTAGCAAAGACTCTCAGCTTTAAGTATGTTTCCATCCTTCAGATGAAGATTTAACCAAACGTGGACACGAATAAAAGGATTACCACTCCTTTCTGAGGAAAATCCATCTGAAGTAGGAGATCAGATGCGTAATTCCCTCTTCAGAGTGAAAAGTCTGATTTCCTAGGCTGCAGTGACACCTAGTGGTGGCAGGTTGCTGCTGCGCTGCCTGAATCTTGGTCCAAATGACTGCAGACTGTGAAATTAGCTGCATTATAAAGTAATTACCAATCACAATGTGCAAGGCTCGCAGATCTTTCTCTCGTCTTGCCAGATGATGATGTTGGAGGCGGCGGATCAAATTCATCAGCCCAGTTTTAGAGCAGACAGACGGCAGATGGCGAGTCATTAAAAAAAGTCGCGTCAGCGCCAGAGATTATTTATCTGAGGTTTAAAAAACATCTGTCTGACCTTTTAATTTTGGCCAAAACACAGAAAAAAAGTTTAAAAATGCAGGCAGGTTTTTATGGATGCTTAGGAAAAATGATTTATTGGTTTTTATTTTCTGAAAAAGTACCAAAAACAGTAAAATTAAACTGAAATCAATTAATCAATCTCATTGTCTTTAAAGTATATATGACATTTCTTCACTTTAACTTACTGAAACCAACTGGAATCGATCTGATCTTTTATTTCTGACCAAAACATTTTGACTAAAAAGTGAAAAAAGCAGAAAAGTGTTTCTGGAGAACATTATAAAAATATATTTTTTAGGTTTACAGAGAAAGATTGTTGATTTTATTCTCTGAAAAAGTTGAGAAAACGGTAAAATTCAACTGAAAACAAATCCATAAATTTTTTCCTCATCGGTTTTACAGCATGTATTGGATTTGATCATTTTAAGTTACTGAAACCGATTAGACTCGATCTAATCGTTAATTTTTTACCAAAACACACAGGAGAGAAAAATGAACAAATGCAGACAGTTTTTGCTGGAAAACCTGAAAAAATCTTTTTTTAAGTTTACAGAGGAAGACTGTTGATTTTATTCTCTGAAAAAATTGAGAAAACGGTAAAATTCAACTGAAAAAAAAATTTTTCTGATTGTTTTTAAGATTATTTGACTTTATTTTTCTGAAACTGATTAAATTAAATTCTTGTTTTGGTTGAATAGAAAAATTAAATATCAGTTTAAAGTCATTTTTCATTTCGATGTCAAAAATTTTAATTTTTTAAAATTTATTTTTCCAAAGTTTGGGGATTAAATCTCAATTAAAAAAGCTTTAATTTCCTCCGACAGGGAAATAATTTAATTAATTTATCTCAAATTAAATATTTTCTTCTGTTAACAGTTTGCCTTTTTTAATCATTTTTCTCTGGATAGTTTTTCTGTCTTTTGTCTGAAACTGTAACAGCCGATTGTGATAATTTATTTCTGGTAGATCATAGGAGATCCAGGTGCTGGGAGCCGACTCCAGGGGGCGCTGTGGGTTAATCAGTAAACAAACTGCAGAAGCAGCTGCTTTACAATCTGCCAAAACAAAAAAAAAGACTTAAGTTGGTTCTTTTTCAAATATTTTTCAAGTGACAGAAATGGAGCCGAATGAATGTACCATCAAATGTGAAATTCTTTTGCTTTATTTCACGCATTATTTGTCTTAAAAAGCACAAAAAGGCGCAGAACAAATTTACCGAGAGGTGGAAACGCAAACACAGGAAACTAAAAATCAGAGGAAGAAAAAAATCTAAAACTTGAACCGTTTCGCTTCAGAAAGAAACGTTTTGCTCACTTGTTAGTTTTAGTTTCTGCTGAATTATTGGATGTAATTCAACTCAGAATCCGTGGATTTTTATTTGTGTATTAATCAAGGTACTTAAAGCAGAATTTTCATATATTTTTACAGCTTTAACATGAATAATTTACATTTAATACACAATTTATTCATAAAAATCAAGCCAAAATGTTTAGATTAGATTTTTTTTACTCCTTTCTCAGCTCATTTGTGGTGAAATTAAGGATTTAAAAAGATGAGATGCTGCTTTGTAGGTTGAATTTATCTTTTAAATCAGAAGTTGTATTTTTTTTATTTGCAGGAAATGAGATTAGCTCTTCAGACTTTTTAGTTATTGGGCTTTAGACTCTATAAAGGGCTGAAATGCAGCTTTTTAAAATATTTTTATTTTTGTCTCCCGCAGCTTTAATCTGGTCGAATCCTCACCTTCAGATTTAAATTATTCCCATAAAACTGTTCTTACTTTTGCCTGATCATTTTGTGTTTCATTGTGCTTCTGTCACTGACTCAGTCGCCCAAACAGCTGACGTTTTAGAGCTTCAAATGTGTGAAAACAGCCTCAGAAATGTAGAAAAACTCGCTGAAAATCATTCCATTGCACATAGATTATTTTACATTTGTATGCAGTGTTTTAATTATGTGGGGAAATTTGATTTATTGTGTTAAATATAATTATTGTTGATATGATATGTAAATATTGCATTGCGGCAGACAAGCCGTTTGGCATTTATATAAAGATTCTTCTGAAGATATGGAATAAAATGATATTGAGCAGCAGACTTTTTAATAAACTATATTTGTTACACTTCTATTGTGAATAAAACATCTTCTAATAATTCTTGTTTCCTTTGTTTTTATCAAGCAACCAAAGAAAACCTTCAGAAACCTGAAAAATATTGAAATCCAACAGGTTTTGTGGGATTTTTTGTACATTTTTAACAAATTTCTGTTTTTATCAGCAAATAGAATTTGGAATTCTCAGATGATGATGTCATCCCTTTGCAAGCTTCTGATTGGTTAATTATCCCTACACCTGTGGATCTATTTTAACAGACTGTCTTTATGTGATGTAAAAAAAAAAACGATGTGGGTAAAAAAAATCTTCTGTTTTCTAGACAAGAACATTTTTAAAAACAAGATTTGTGCCGACATGAGCTGAAAGGTTATTCAGTGAGGAAGAAGCCATAAAACACAAATACATAACATGTCCTGCAGTCTGATGAAACTATATGTATGAAGGAAGCTTGCAGGTCATCATGTTTAGCAGCAGGAGGGACTGGTGCACTTCGTAAATTAAAGTGAGGCCTACAAACCTGATCTAGTTCCACTTTCTGTCAGGAGAAATGAGATGAAATTACAGCAAATTATTGACGAACTTGTGGAAGAAAATCCAAAACGTTTAGCAGAACTCGGTGCAATTCTACCAAGTCCTGAGGAAATGAAAGAATTTGCAGAGGAAAAAAATGGCTGTCTTTATTTTTATGTAAATATTTGTTTTTAGCTGCATCGGCTGAAACCTTCCAGTTTTTGCTCTGTTTTCCATTATTCTGTGGAAAACAGAATTTTGACTCCACTATGACAAAATTTAACTCTCTAATATTATCTAGCAAGTGCGGTACTGGCTCCAGCTAACTTTCCACTGTCCTGTAGCCTCTGTTCATGGATTTGTCCAAAATAAAACTTTCAGACTTTATTTGAATGCGTGTGTTCCTAAAACCTGCCACCAGATGGCAGCAAAGGACGACATATGCGCTCCAGATGATTCCCGCTGCTGCAGTTGTTACCTTTTAATCTTAATGCCTCTCTTTCAGATTATTCTCTGCTTGTGTCATCCCACAGGAGTCTTCAGGCAACCCATCCTCATCTCCGCACCATTACCACGAAAACCACAAGAGTAACGGAGTCAAAGAAAATACGTCACATGGATTAACTGGGACAGATTAAAATTATATGATTTAACTTGTTTCCCCAGTTTTTAACTTGTGTTGGATGTTTCCCCCCTGCTGGGACGTCGCTCCTCTGCCACCATCATGGCTGGTTTGTTGACCAGCAGCAGATTGTTGTTCTGAAACCAGGAAGTCCCACAGGAGTTTGCAGCTCCACTTCCTGTTTCCAGGCCCACTGGGACCAGGAAGTCTGACCCACATTCTGGACAGATGTTCCTGCCGCCTGGTTGGATCCTTCAGAGTTATTCACATTTCTGCACAGCGATAGATT